TATATTTTTATATATATAAAAAGCATTATTATTATTTAGCCACCTAGGGGCAGGGGGAAACAGGAGCTATTTAAAATTAGTTTCTTAATTATTTAAGCGTTAGTCCCCTACCTCCCAAATCACAATACCTCTGTCACAGTAAGGAGCATAACATGAAAATGTGTTTGCTGCCACTGACAATTCCTGAGTCTCTCCTTTGCAGAACTTCAGCCCAAATATCAGGATCATGGCAGCTTGACACATATACACTCCCCCGCAACATACACACAGCAAGTAGAACATGCCTCAGTGGCCTCAGACAAAAAAAAACAAAACAAAACAAAACGAACAAATGACCAACCAACAAACTTGGAGAAACCATCCAGAAGAGCCTCAGGAAAGGGAACTATCCACTTTCCATGGAGAAGCAACTGCCCAGGAGTCCCTGCCCAATATAAACTAAATCAAAATATGCATCCCACAGCTGAAGGAGATCTCTGAAACCTGGCAGTGTCACACGCTGGATACTTGAAGGCACATTTGCTTTGTGTTTTGGGAGAGAAATCCAGTTACAACAACACACTGCAGCTGCAGGGCTGAGGGAAAGGAGGCGACACTTGGCATCTTGCATCTTTCCTCTGTTCCTGTCCCCGTTTTCAAGCTTCATGGCTGGCATGAGCTGGTGATCTAAGCAGACACGTTAACATCCCTGAGTGAAATGGCACCATTTGTGGCCTCTGAGACTTTGTCCTCAAGCACCATTGCTGGTGCGTCTGTATTGACTGCTGTAGTGTCTATGGCAGGAAGTGGATTCAAGCCCTGTGATAAGATCTGTTGGATGGTTTTCCGCAAATTGGGGTGCAGCTGGTTTTGGGTCTGGTAAAAAATTTCTAAGGCAAAAGACTTGAGGGTGCCAGTGCAAAGGTCCTCATAAAGTGGAATTGTGTACATCCGAGACATCTGCAAAAAAGGAAAACTGGATAATAGCACTTCAATAAAAGCCAAGAGGTTCAGCTCTTCTACAGCTACACTCCAACAGCCCTGAATGACTTCAGATTGGAGACAAGCAACGCATTTCCTCAAAAGACAGCAAAGTCTATTGTAAATAAGTTTAATGCAAAGATTTTTATGAATGATAATAAAAAAAAACATTTTCTCCCTAAGACTGAGCTATTTCCACAAATAACAGAACGATTTTTAAAAGGCCAAGGAGAACAGGCCACAGTGAACACATGCATTAACCTTTTGCTCCTGCACAATAAAAATTACTGAAAAGAATTCAATGAGCACTAGGTTTGCTTGAAGTGTAAATATTCAAATAATCACATGATTTAGTAGTGTGAAAATTTCTGGTCTGGAAAAGCCAGGGCTGCTACAAAGCAATACAAAAAATGCACCGGGCAGAGCTGGGACAAGAGTATTGAGTTAGACTAGAAAAGCAGAGATTATCTGTAGGCACTTCAAATTACATCTGCCCATTCCTCCCCACCCGCTAGCAGGTGAGCCATGCTCGGCCCCTTCGCAACACACCTGGTCTACACTTGGCCAGGAAGCAGAAGTTCCAAGGTCTTTCACGTCGCATGTCTCATGCACATGTCTCATGCACTGAGAGGTGCAGTGATTTTAATCCAGCAGTTAGTACCTGGTTTTCCAAGAAGCGACGGACTTTGTAAAGGTCTGGATAATAGTCATTTCGGACTACAATCTGCAACCAGCGGATACGGATTTCTGCGTTCATGGAGTCCAGCTGAGAGGAGTAACATTCCGAAAGCTTTTTTATCACCTCTGAAGAGAGCACATACACAGAGAAAGAACTATGACCTATTTTGTCAAGTTTGAGGGTCATCAGAGAATAACGAATCATAAAATCACAGAATGGTTTGGGTTGGAAAGGACTTTTGACAATCATCTAGTTCAACCCCCTTGCCACGGGCAGGGACATCTTTCACTAGATCAGATTGCTCAAAGCCCCATCCAACCTGACTTGATGTGAATGACAAGGTCAGTGTGGCGTGGGGCTCTTTAGAATTCAGTTCATTCTTCCAGGAATACTTTTCTACTATCCTGATAGAGTACTCACCATGTGGCAGTGGCGACCCATCCAGCAATCTGTCCAAGAAAAGCACGGTTTGGAACGTTCTCCATTTAGTGAGGTCAACACTGCTGGCAGCAGCAACAGAGTCCAGAGGCTCTGTGGTCCAGAGTTTGAAGAGCGACTCCACTGGTCTGGTCAGACTGGATCCCTGAGATAAGTCTGGCTCAGCTAATGGCGGTCCTGTAGCATTGAGCCAACGTTCAAACTCCAGTCCTGGAATGAGGAGCATCAAAAATGTCGAGCAGGAGTCTCTGCAGGTGGCTTGGCTGTCTCAAGGTTCAGGACTGCTTCTAGCACAGTTAAGAGAGGTTCTAACAGTAGCAAATCAGACCAATCTATAATTACAGCGACATAACAGTCTTAGCAGTCTCATCAGGCTAGCCTATGCTACATCTGGAAGAGTGCCAGCAACACCTCTGCCAAATTTAACCATGAGTTTTCTAGAGCTCAACATTACAGTAAGTACAAGAAACACACATGCTCTTAAGCCAGCCAGGCTAACAAGTATCTATGATCAAACTATGTTCTAATGTAAGATTTTTTTGTGCATGCATTTCTCTTTCTCAGAATTTTTAGGAAGAGTGAAGAATATGAGGAAAACCTGCTTCATTTAAAAAAAAAAAAAAAAAAAAAAAAGGAGGTGAGAGGGCTGACTAAACTCCTCCTATCTACCAGCAAAACCAAACATTTTAAAATTTACTTATACAATCAATAACTAAAACAAAAAACCCCATTTCTCTACAAGCAGCAGAGCTGGAGAGCCTGGTTTCCAACAGAGCTCTTCCCCTCCTTGACCCTTTACCACCTCAGCACTTTCCTAACCCTTGGCAATACTTCCCATTCCACACCATCTATCCTAAAACTCCTCTCTCCTGCATCCCCTGAAATTAGCCAGATAAAAGTTAGCCTGTGCTGTGGTTAACTCATTAGCCAACCAGTGGGCCAAATAAAACACACAACTGCTGAGGTCACGCTGCAGCTTTTCCCACAGTAGGATCACTCATCTACATCTCTCCACAGGCAGTTTCCACAAAGCCTCGTATCCTTAAGAGCTGTACTCCACTGCCGGTGTGGTTTAAACTGACCAATGGGTTCAATAATTACTTGCAAGGATAGACACATGGCAGGATAACATCAGTCTCATTTCTTTAGCAAGTGAGCTAATAAGCACCTAGTAGATTACAGACCTTTCATAAATCCACCAACAGCTATAAATAGGGGATGTAAGGAAGGGTGAAACATTACAGAAGAGATTTTGTATGCACGGATAGGGCCTTGGGAAAAACTACAGTTCTCAAAGCATGTTTTCTGTAATTCAAATAGGTGAAATTTCAAAGTATGTTTACCTTTTCCTTGCATTTGAGCATGTGTAAATCTCATATGCACTGTTCATTCTGTCTGCAGCGCGCAAGATGAGTTAATGAGAAAGTTAACTGAGGGCCACTCAGCTGATTAATGCCAAAATTGTCAGCAACTTAAGATGTTCTCATTCCCCAACACGGAGGCAGTAACAATATCATCACAAACATTTCTATCACGAACATCTGGCTGTTGCCAAAGGGTTTTATTTGCCTTAGCATTTTCTTATGCATCCTCCAAGCCAAGCACAAAATTTATCATGCAGATTTTCTACAGTGTTTACAGTTAACTAAATAAATTTCCTACCTGCTTTGCTCTCAACACATTGCTCTTTCAGCTCTGGAAAAAAATTCAGGAAGGAATCCAGAAGATCTTGAGCCACAACGCTGGTAAATTTGTACTTCTCAATGTAGGCCTGAAACAGTAAAAAGGATAAATTATGGTTAGGAGAAAGACAGCTTCCTTTTGATGTAGAACCACTGCATGCAACTAAAAAAATAAGAGATGGAAGAGTGAGAACAACTATTTGGAAGGTTTTTTTTTAAAAAAAAAAAAATTCTCCCTCCTCCCCCCAAATGAGGAAAGCAGCATAACAAGAAAAAAATTGGGTAGCTGCAAATACATTGACAGCTGAGTACATGTTTTTTTTCTGATACAGATCACAGATACATGAACACATCAAGGGCAAGTAAGTTTCCTTGTACTTGACACTAGTGAAAAGTCAGAACACAGCTGGCCACTGTATTATTCACTGATAGATTATGGACTAAAGTCATACTTACGTAACTATAGATAAGAGAAAGATGGAATGGGAGTGGATGGGAAGAAGAGATGAAAAAACACACACGCAGCAAAAAGAAAAAGCAATGAGTTGTGTCGCTTTTTCAAAACACGTCAACAGCTGACATAATTTTCCATAGGTTTTGCAAGTGTGCTCCAACACACCAAACCTGCCCCAACATAGGAAACCATGCCCTTTGTCACCCTGGCTAAAAAAACCACAAGCTGTTACTGTTTAGTAGTGAATGAAGTCACATCATTCCAGTCATAGATAATCTCTGCTGGAACAGCTTTCTAATTATCTGGAGCACAGAAGTAACAAAAATGTACTACTACTTTGTATTTGGCACCTCATAAGCTCAGAATCTGAGATGAAAGAAGAGCATGAGCACATTCACTTAAAAGAAATCTCAGTAAAAACCTGTCACACGTAGACGATTCCTATAGGATGGCAGACGGTCCCACGCCATTCTTCCATCTCAGACACACTTGCATTCAACTTTACCCCTATCAGTTAACCACAGTGACAAAACCTGAAAAAAAAAGCAGCTCTAAATCTCAAGAGAAACACATGCTTATTCACACTCACTCTTAGGAAGGAGTCAAAATGCCTTGGGTCACCACAGAGCTGGGACAGGTAGTAAACAAAGCAGTAGCCTTTCTCATAGGTGAAGAGGTTCATTAAATTACTAGGATTTACACCTGAAAGGAGAAGACAATAATGTTATAAGCCACTGTAATGAGGACATGAATTTCCAACCCTTCTAAATATACAGACCCTTACAGATCACTGAGTGGAGATGCAGTGACTTAAAAACAAAACAAGCCTGTTGTCAATACATTTAATTTACTGCAGTAAATTAAACAGAAGCAGTCCAAACATACAGGCTGGCGGGGAGGGGGGTGGAAATCAATGATTGTAAGCTAAGTATTAATTCCTAATGGAACAAGTCACTTCAAATTAGAAGTCGCTGAAAACACACCTAGAATTTGAAGACAAAGCTTTTTTTTCCACCCCCACCTCCCCAGTGCCAAACTCAGGGAATCACCATACCACAAATTTGTAAAGATATCAATATATCAGGTAATCACTACTTGTTCCTTTTTTGAGACTTCCAACACATGTTTTTCCATTCCATTTGGTTCCAATATCATCTCCACTTGCATTTTAGGTTGTGTTAAATATCATCTAGATTGAAGGCTGCTTCACACCTCCAGTGGTGATGACAGAACTAGAGAACTATCAATGAAGAAGATACATGATGCTGGAGTGCAGACATGCATCTGGCTCAGGGGATAACCAAACAGCCTCTGCATAGCTCACTCAACAGGAGAGCGAGTACAGATATTTATCTGTATGCTTATGCATACATACGTCGTTCTTACATGAACACATAAAAAGAGGAATATTTACTAGCACAGGATTTCATTTGATGTTTCCAAATATTTTCACTATAAACTACTTTATTTTACACATTCAGAAGCTCAAAACCACACAGCTTTCAAGGCAGCTTTTTTACACTCTGTTTCTACCCAGTGAGTCTGTCCCATTCTAAACCAGAATAATATTTACAAAGATGAGTTAGCCAACTTTGAAGAAAACTTCAAGGCAAGTTTCCTTATTTACTTTTAGACTGGTTTGCAAACCAGTATACTTTTTTCTTTCTTTTATAAAGGATATGTAAAAATTAGTCTTTTTTGGTCTATATTATAGCATCGATATACAGAAATTTTATGTACAGAAACTTCAGCCAAAAGCAATACCTGGCTCCAGTTTAACCTGAAGCTTGCTGACCGGGTTGTCTTCTCCAAGGAGCTTCATCTGTCTGTGGAGAGCATCAAGGCGGAATGCAGTCTCCAAACATGTGAAGGCAGCTCCTACCCCAGAAAGAAACTTATTAGTTGTGGGAAAATGACTAGCAAAACCTGACCTGTGCAGAACTAGCACAGGTACAAAATAAAAGCTACTGAAGGTATAAAATACATGATAGCGAGACAGAATCACAGTAATGTAATGGCGGAGAAACCTGAGTGCAAAAAAATCCTTGCAATTTGTAATGAAAGTCAGAACCTAAACCAGTGCATTTACTCACTCTGATTATGCAGTAGGCTGAACTGAAAAACAAAGCAGCATGAAAACTATGCTAGTTTACATCCTTGCCATCATCTTATCAGTTCTTGCAAGATAAGCAGAGCAGCTTTGGAGTAAGTATTGTACATGTAACTTTCAAGGAGCAATCAAGTGCTACAAAAAAGTAATGTAACTGGTGGAATAGTAGACACACAATTACATATTCAGTGCCAAGGATATTACTAAGAAAATATCACCTCTTGGGTGAAAACAGGAAAGGATTAGATCTGGTTGGTATATTACAGATCCTGTGGATCTTTTTTTAAGCTTTATCTAGCATCCTACCCATATCGTATCATACAGTCTTCACCCTCCACTCGCCAGAACTTCTTTTACAGCCGAGACTGGGTAGGCTACTCTTTCTCTTCTATCTAACTGCAATGTAGAGCTTTCCATGCTTTCAAGCCAAATGAGCTGTATCCCACCAGCAAGTCAGGAGATCTTTCCTATGCCCTTGCAGATGTAAAAGCGGCAGAAAATGGATTTTCAGATTCAGAAGATGCTATTAACACTTGAGCTTTCTTTGCTAAGTCTTCAACTTCAACAATAGGGCTTGTTACATTGATACAATCTCAGAGTGTCAATGGACGTACACAGGAATCTGATACAAGCAAAATGAAAATTCCGAACCAGGATATATTTGGAAGATAGAAGAACCTGTACTGGCAGAGAAAGAGGTGTATGTGCTTCACAGGGGAAAGCAAGAACCAGGAGAGCTAGTGTTAAGGGCAATTACTTCAAGCCACAGGAAGGAGGATTAAGCAAGATCCAAGAGGTGTGGTAGTCAGTGGACTCCAATTTCTGTAAACAATGTCATTACAAAGATGCCTTTTTGTTAACATCAGAAGATACTCTAGAGATGACATCAGAAATGGCAAGATTTAGATCAGAGGTTTGTCTTAGAAGCAAAATAGAATGCAAAAAGAGCTTACTAAAGAATGGCACAGGGAAAGGCATTTCTTAGTCTCCTGAACAATTGCTTCTTGAAACAACCAGTTCTAAATTTCAAGAGAATAGACCAAAATCAGCAAGGATCTTGTCCTATGTCAGAGGGACAGACTAATGTCAGATGAGACCCCAGACTAACTGGGATAGAGAACAGGTCAATATCTTCTGACCTGTTCATATCATTGCCATGTATAATATAACGTGACTTGTAAGAACAGTTCTAACCACTGAGAATTACACAACATAAAACAGCTTTCAAAGATATATAATACACATTGTAATATCTTCATACATGCTCAGAGCACTTCTTTCCCT